TTTATTTATTTATTTATGTATTTATGTATTTATTTTTGAGACAGAGTCTCACTCTGTCGCCAGGCTGGAGTGCAGTGGCATAATCTCAGCTCACTGCAAGCTCCACCACCCCAGTTCAAGTGATTCTCCTGCCTCAGCCTCCCGAGTAGCTGGGACTACAGGCACGCACCACCACTCCCAGCTAATTTTTGTATTTTTAGTAGAGATGGGGTTTTACCATGTTGGCCAGAATGGTCTTGATCTCTTGACCTCATGATCCGCCTACCTTGGCCTCCCAAAGTGCTGGGATTACAGGCGTGAGCCACCGTGCCCAGCTCCAACTTGTAGACTTTTCTATAATAGTATTCCTGATCCCCAAGTCCAGACTGTGAGTGCCTAGCTGGGGCACTGGGCTTGGATGGAGTCGGGCAACAAGAGACCCCGGAGGGAGATGAATTGTTGGGGCCAGAGACAGTCCAAGGGGAGAGGGGAGCCCTGCTGGCTGCTGCAGGGCCTGGAGCAGGGGGAGGAGCCAGTGGAGTTACAGACAGATGGGGAGGCTTGAGGTCAGGAATGGGTGGGTGGTAGCAGAGGGGGTTCTGTGTCTCACCAGGTGGGGATGCCCGAGGTGCCAGCACTCGCAGAGGTCTCCGGGGACGCAGGGGCCTGCCTGGCTGCGGAAGTGCCCAGGCTGGCACACACAGCCAGAGGCTCGAGCCGAACTGCAGTTACTCCGGGTCTCTGTGGCATTCATCTCCTGGCATGTCTGCTCGCAGAGCCCCAGCTCCCCCGGGGCCACCTGCTGCCACATTTCTCCAGGGGGGCACTCTGCCAGGGAAGACCATCCAACCCACCTTTCCAGTCAGCCCTAGATCCAGCCTCGATTCCGCCCCTCCCAAGCTGAGCACCCTCATGTCCCCGTCCTGCCTTCTCAGCCGCAGTAGCCTCCAACCACACCTCCTGATCTTTCTTATCCACCCACTCAAACACTAGCTGGACCCAGGCCAGGTCTCACCTCCTTCAGAAAAGCGTCCCTGACCAATCCTGTCCACCCAGCCTCTATTCTCGGCACTGACGTCTCACCCTCTGGGGTGCTGCCTGCTTGTCAGAGGACTGTCCCGTCTCTGCCTGTTCTAGGGGGTGGTCTGCCTGGAGGCTGGCCATGCTGCGTCTGCATTCACAGAGCCCAGCGCGGCAGACGGTGGGTGGGCCCTTGGTCTTGATCAGACTGGGGCAACACTGCACTGCACAGGGCAAATGCTACTGCCCAGGGGCTGCCAGGCCAGGCCCCTCATTTCTGCTCACCCCTCCAGACCTCAGTTTCCTCACTGGCAGGGAAAGAACCTTCCACTTCCTGGCGTCACTCACAGCCCTGGCTCTGTGTACACCGTGTGCTAGGGAATGCTCCACAAGTGGGGCAGACCACACTGAGTACCC